TATAGGCAATGACAAGGCGCTCCAGATAAAAATAAAGTCGTATTTCAGAACATAGCAGATGCAAAATTCAGATTTCCTGTAAATCAAAATTGCTTTCAGAAAAAGTCCAAATTAGGGGCTTTTTAGGGGCTAATTAAATACCAAGTTTAAAAATTAGTTGCTCCAAAATTTTCACCGCAACTAACCATTGAAATTTGCGTTGCTGGCAAAACGTATTGCTGGCAACGCAATGAAGTTATTAGATATACTTACTTATATATATTACTTATGTATACTATATATATATACTTAGATAGATTAATAGCAAGGAATTAAGTGCTAATTAGGTGCTGCAAGTATACGCAATGACAAGGCGTCCTATAAAGTCGTTATTCCAAACAAAGCAGATGCAAAATTCTATATTCTAAAAAATAAATTATTTTTTGCCGAGTTACGTACATTTTATGGTGCTTTGCGTACTTTTTAATCATGAGGTCAAAAATGTTTAACTACCGTATTTTTGTACAGAAAATCATTGCTTATAATATATTACCAAAACGATTAAATACTTATCATTATTCTACACGTTATTACACTACAAGGTACAATACAGCACATTTTTATTCCTAATACATATTTTATTAAAAAAAAGTGTGTTAGAAATAATGCAAATAAGCATAATTTATTTTGAGCTTTAAATTATTTGATATATTAAATAAGTTATTACAATTTAAGTCGTCTTCATTGCTAGCATACTGCTTGAATATTTTGTTTCCAAATATTCATTATTGTATAAATATTGTTTGCTTAAATATTTGTTTTTATCAATATTTGATTCGATTTTAATGGAGTAATAATGCAGAATTGCTTACTTGATTAGCAATTAGTTTATAATTCATTTCAATTCCAAATGATCTCAATTTTTATTTTTTGATTACAATTTCCATTTTATATATATAATTGAAGAAGTTGTGTGCACATTTACATAAATTAAATTTGTTCTTATCTTTGTTTCAGGCTTTTCACTTAATATGAGATACGAGAAAGATAAGACAGCAGTCCTAAAGATCATCAAAACTATACTGCTCGGTGACGTCACTGAGCCACAAAAAAATTATCGGCTGGGAAAATACCAACCAGGTAAGGATAGACACCTGAAAGTTTGTTTTTCATCCCAAGAAACATCAAAATTAATACTTAAGAGTAATCAAAACTTAAAAGAGAACAAATTTAAGATCTTTTCCGACCAAACAGCCCAACTACAGGAGTACATAGTTACTTTAAAACGAACACTCGAGCAGCGTACAGCAAGTGGCGAACAAAATCTTTGTATCAAATATATAAAAGGCGTACCCAAAATAATAAAAAAGACTTCCAAAAAACTTCCATCAACAGCTTTCTCAAACAACGTCTTTGAAAATGTAACGACCAACAGAGTATCGTACCAAGCTATTAGCAAATATAGTGATATAATAACTAACAAAAATTAACTTAAATGTTTTTATGCCAATGCCCGTAGTATTGTTAGACCTGGTAAATTAGATGAACTTGCGTGTGTTTTACAGTCGTTTCGTCATCAAATACATATTATTATACTGACCGAAACATGGTTGAAATCAGAGCAGGAGGCCAAAAGATTCCAACTAACAGGCTACACTCATTACTTTAATATTAGATATAATAGCAGAGGGGGTGGCGTATCAATATTTGCTCATAATTCACTTTAATAGAAGAAAGCTCCCATTGCAAAAGCCATTTTCTCTGGGTTCACATAAACAAGTTTTCTCTAGACATAGGTGCCGTCTACAAACCAGAACGCACAAACAACAAAGATTTCTTGGAATACTTCTCAGCACAGTTAGAACAGGAAAGAAGAGGCTTGGTATTTGGAGATTTCAATGTGGATCTCTTAAGTTCTGATAGATCAGTCTTTGAATATAAAGAAATAGTAAAAGAATGCGGTTACCATCTTTTGAACAAAATAGATATACGCTACAGCACTCGTGAAACAAGTAAAACCAATAAATTACTAGACCATATCTGCACAAATCTGAAACAAAATCTCTTTCACTTAGCTGTCATAGAATCCAATATGTCTGATCATAAACAAATATATTTTTAAGTTATAAATTGTAAGCCTGTACCTATAAAATCAACTGTGTATCAAGCAATTGACTATATTAATTTATACAAAACTTTGGAAAAAGTAAATAGTGATAATAATTTAAACTTGGATAATAATATCTTCCAACAAAATCTTATATCCTCTATACAAAAAAATAAAATTACAAAAACAAAAAAGAATTATCAGCCGAAACAAGATTGGATACAAAACGATATTATTAAAGCAATAGAAAAAAGAAATACGTTAAGGCTGAAACACATTAGAAATCCGTTAAACAAACAGATAGAAGAGGAATTTTTAAATGAAAGAAAAAATTTAGCACACAATATACAAAGAAGAAAAAATCAGTACTATTACAAATTATTTATGAATTGTGAAAACAAACCAGCAAAAACATGGGCCTTAATAAATAAACTTTCGTACAACAAAATAAAGGAAACTAACGCTCCAGCTGAACTCCAGACAGAAACTGCCACGCTAACAGATCCTCTAGAAATATGTGAACATTTTAACCAGTACTTTTCAACCATCGGAGAATCCTTGGCAAGTGAAATACCTTCCTCTTTCCATCACAATAATATCTTTGCTACTGATAAACACACGGTACTGTCGGAAAACCAGATGTTGTCACAACTGATTCCTACCACTACAGAGGAAGTTCTCAGAATCATCAACAACATTAGTCTTAACACAGCGTCAGGTATAGATGGAATTAATACTAAATCTGTCAAGTGTGTTAAAAACTTAATTGCCCCGGAACTTACAAAATGTATAAATGAATGTCTGCAATCAGGTATCTTCCCGTGTAGTCTGAAAATAGCTAAAGTCACTCCAATCTTTAAAACTGGAAATAGATCCAATCCTGGTAATTATCGACCTATATCAGTTCTTCCTGTAATCTCAAAGGTATTTGAGAAAATCTTATATAACCGTCTTCAAACATTTTTAGAATCAAACAATTTCTTATATAATAAACAATATGGCTTTAGGCGAAAATCAATTGTATTTAAGTGATTCTTTGCATATAGAATGTCACTTAAATATAACTTAAACATTTCGTAAAAATCAGCCAAGTACAATTTCCTTCATTTTAATATCGAATGTTGGGTTACTGGGTAAAATAATTGAATTCTAATTACGGCTCTGTCTTTTTGTTATTTTTATGAAGTTTACTTCACGATAGTGGCGATTAAAATTTCTTTGTCTTGAATGTATTTGCTTCATGAGATAGACGTTCCGATGCTATGGATGGCATCACATTTCATTTGTAAGTAATTTTACACCGAATTTATTAAAATAGTTCTAGAAAAATCTTTGCGTCGGCTTTCAAATATAATTACATTTATTCGACACTAGATGGCGACACTTTGTGTCATGTGAACTAAAAATATAAAGGTACGTAGACCTCAGTACTGATAAAATAATCATACGAAGGTGCTGAAATTTGTTTTGCATTCAAATATAACGAAATTTTAATTGCCAAAATATTATTTTTATAGTTTATGACATTTCGTGGACAGGCCGTCATCTACCGTCAAGTTAGCTAAACTACATTGCAACATCGATATGGAACGATTCGAGTAGTTTTACTATTTATCGGTAGATGTAGATTAGTGTAAAGTGGGCGGGGCTTTGCATCTCCTCACCCCGCAAATTGTCACGCATTGTTACATAGTGAAATTTAATTACAACGTCTCCTCTTTGTATTTGCTTCATGATTTATTTAAATGCGCACGACTAAGCCCTTTCAAGGATACTCTGATTGAGCCGGCGCAAACTGGTTTGTACCCCAACGGAGCGTCGGTGAACCTGTCGGTGAGAGCTCACGCACACATCGCTGCGCTATGTATGCGTGTATTCGCAGCGAGCCGTTTTTATGTAGCTTCCCCTCTGGTCGGTTTCTTTACTCATGTGCTGTGACTGTTTTAATTGTTTTCTTAATGTACCCCCAACCTCTGCGTTTCCCCAGATATTGTTATAACTTATAAGTTTTTATGTTCTCATGATAAGTGAATTTTGTATTCTTAATGAGAATAAATTTCTTAAACCACATGTGTGACAGGCTATTCGCTGCGAATTGAATTGAACATGTTCAAGTGTGTCTGGCATTACGATCATTTTGGCGATTCATTCATTTCTATATTCAAGAAGAAATGTACTGATAAATGATAATTATAATTGTATTTGCGTAATTTTTTTAATAAATCTTGTAAGCATTATGTTGTAGTTTTATTTTGATTTTAATTATTAATATCTGAGATGATGAGAACCCTAGGATATATATATGCAGCTTACGTATACATACATATATGGCTATAGAAATTAGAATAAAGTTGCCAACTAAGGAAATGAGATGGCGGTAGTTATGCATACGTACTATGTGGTTTCTTGCTGGTTCTTCCCAGGACAGAGGTTTTTTTCCGAACCAATATATATTATTTATAATAATCAATAAGTATTATTTATAATCTATATTGAATAAAAAAGTTTCTGTTTCTGTTCGTCAAGCATGGTAACAACTATCCCCCTGTGAGGCAATCTATAGGGGGGAGGCCTATGTTCAGTTGTGGACTATAATAGGCTGTAACGGTAACGGTATTTTGTGCAGTATTCGTGTAAATGTAAAAAATTAATAAATTATCAGTACCTTTTTGCTTTTATCCACTTACTGTTTGATTCGGTTGTCATTCGGATTCTGAACGAAATTATCTTTCCCAAACCAGTTTGTCCATCGTTATCACACATTATTGACTAATACAGATGAAAAAGTATGAAATCACAATTGAATTATATTGTTTCTCAATGGGAAAAATACAATATTCTTCAAAGACAAGATGAAAACACAATGTGAAAATTAGAAAATGCTTTAATGTTTTTAGGAATACAGTTTAATGTTCTATATCGGTTTAATCTTAAAATGAAGTCCAATTAGAGAAAATACTAGACACTTGAGATCTTGCACCAAGTAGTAGAAACACCGCAGACCTTCAGGATCACGAGATTGGTTAACATCTACCAAAGATCCTGTTTTCGATGTAGTAAATGAAATATGTTCTTCACCAATGACTATCTCCAGCTCCTGAAATAGAAAGTTTATCGAGATATAACAAACAAAAACTAAAATAAAGGTTGTAAAATGTAAGCTATTTTAGGAAAAAAGATGCAATAATTTTATTAAAACAATAAACATCTGTTACACATTTTGAAAATAGCTGTACAATCTTAGACTAGCAGCGACACCCGGCGTTGCCCGGGACAAAATACATAGCACACTTAATGGTTTAAAACTTTAAAATCAGTTTTTCTATCTTATATGTAATATGTATACACAAATCTTTGTACCATTGAATGTACGTTGTATATTATGTATACTAAAACGAGTGATTAATTTACTTAATAAAATAATTATGAATCAAATACGAAAGTAGTTTGTTTAAATTAAAAAAATATGTTTTATTGAATTTATACATATTTACAGTTTTATAAACAATTATATTTTTTAAATTTTTGTTTACAACACTTGCTTATATACTACATTTGTTATTTTATTATTTGAACTGTAAATGAACAATCTTCGAGGTGACCCAACTCTTGAGCATGCGACGTAAAATTGACCGCGTGTAAAGCATGATTCTTTCAAATTAAAGACGCATTATTGGAATGTTTTGCCCTGTGCTTTATTGATGGTCATACTATAAGCCAACTTGAGTGGGAATTGTAATTGCTTAAAATTGAAAGGTAATCCAGTTGATATTAAAGGTATTCGCGGTATAAATACCGTTTGTCCTTTTTCTTTACACGTTATTATACTGGCCTCGATAATGTTATTCTGTAGTTGTTTGATGCAAATTCTTGTACCATTACACAGTTTCGACGAGTTCAGATTTCGTAGTAAAATGAAAGGCGAACCAAATTTTATAATAATTTAAGACAGTGTAATGGCATCCCTGGTACATTCAACGAATTTAAAAATTCGGTAGGTAAAATTGAAGTTTTCATCTTAATAAGTAATTTTATCGATCGACATGAAGTTTTCTCTTCTTCCGGAATAATTTCTTGAATAATGCTGTTGATTTCGTTGACAATCTCGGTTTTCGTCGCTAAAATAATTCTTTCGCATAACCATTCTGAATTAGAATAGGTAATCCACATTATATTTGGGTATCCCTCATTTAAAAGAAATTCAAGTGTCTCAACAACAACATTGCGCGATTATTTTATCAGTACGATTTCGCCATAATTTTCATCTATTGGATAGGTAATGAAATGTATGCTCTTATATTTCTTGTTAATTTGGCTGTTTGTACATGTTGCCCATATGGGTGATTACTTCAAGCAGCAGGAAATTCATAGTCGGCAACATTTAAAAAGTAATTTTAGAGCAGAATGTGCTGTTCGTCCTCTCGATGATGCTATGGTGAGTGCGAATTCTTTGTCTACACGAATTTCAGTTAGGATCAAATTAATTAATAACGTCTTTCCAGTACCACCAGGTGTATCCAGAAACATAAAACCACCCTGTTGTTTTTTATAATAATCTATTATTATATCATATAATTGTTTTTGACTGAATTAATAAAAGTTTATTGTTTTGAATGTAGCTCTGCAAATTGTTAATGTTATATTTCGTTTCTCTTAGTAATTCATTGTTTATGGCATTATATAGATTCGTTAAGGTGCTTGAACTCCCAGTTATATTAGCGTTTGGTTGGATACCGCTAAACATTTATCTTCAAGTGATATCAAGGCTATCTTAAACATTTCTTCATTAAAATAAATTTCTAAGTCCGGATTTTGTCGTCATAGTTCAGCCAGGATATTGTCACTCATACTTACTCTCTACTGTCACCATAATCGATTAAAATTTGATGGATGTAGTTGATATAATGGCAAACAGTTCAAAAATTTGATTTACTGTTGCCGTTTGTACAGCTTCATTCATAGCTAATTCCCAGTGATTGTCATTTTCTAATAAACCTAATCTTCGACATGCTTCACTATATGTTTCACAAATGTAACCGTTAACAGTTCTGAGATTTTCAAAACATATCGGGCTACGAATAGTGTGTAGTAATAAACGTAAATAGAAGCATTCAACGTTTTTAGTCGTACGGTGTACTCTCCCTATCGTATTACTTTGAAACACTCCATTGTGTCCTTGCACTGGCATTCCACGTTTTCGAGGGATAAATCTTGATGACTTGATGTATCCCATGTGTAGTAAGATGGTACTTCCGAGTAAAGAAAAGTTTTAGCAAATGGATCTTCTCGGCATAGCTCAAAAAACACTGTTTAAAACATTTTAGATCCACTACAATATCATTTGCAAATATTTTTGAACATTTAATTTAATTTTATAATTTTTTAGAATGTTTTAGAAATTTTTGATACCATCTAGAACGTTCTAACATGTCTAATTAAATAATATAGAACATTTCAATATATTTTAAAGCTTTCCTGATCAATATAGAAATATTTAAAATATTATCGATCAATAACAATTATTCTTAATGAATAATTTTCAGTGTTAATATGATGGATTTTGAGAACAAGTTAGAACTTTCTGGATCAATCATAAGCATGAATTTTCGTAGTTCCTTTTTAAAATTGTAAAATATCCTGGAATATTTTAGAACATTCTTGAAAAATCTGAAATATTGTAGAAAAGTTCTCGATATTATCACGCACAAACGTAATTTACGCCATTCACCACAGCCTTCAGCTAAAACTAGTCGTACAATGTGTTAGGAAAGGATAGAAGTATCTCATTACAAATTTTTAGCACCCATATCCACCCACTTCCACCAAACTCCCTTACTTGCAAGTGCACATATGGGGCCTTCTAGCACTTTCGAACTTTTTCGGAAAAAATCGACATCCCTACTGACAACGACAATACAAAATAGCGTCAGTTTTACGGTAGCAATTGACATAAATATTGCAAAAATAGTTGATTTTCAATATTTATTTTTCTCAAAAAGTATGTGTCTCCGAATGTTGAAACTTTGCGTGAGTGCTTATAATAACGTAAAATTTCTGTAAAAAAAAATATCAACCTCCAACTCGACGGTCGTCAATGGAAAGTCGTACCGCAGTAACTACTTTTTAAACATGCATAAAACAATCATTCAAATCAATTAATTTCATATGAATTTAATATTCATCTTATAAATAAGCAGTTAATTTAGGTTTACATGACTTTGTATATTCATGAGAATAATCAATAAAGATCAATATACAAATACCGTAAAATGGGGTGAATAGACACAACTTTCAACTTCTACACTGTTTTTCTTACATATTTTGTATGCAAGCTGATAATAAAATACTTTGATGTTGTGAGTCTTGTCGTAGCTTATCAAATACTAATGCTTCAAACGAGTAAAAACATGCAAATTGTTTGTATTTTAGAAAAAAGTAGTAGTTTTCTATATTCCGGGAATCCGGGGTGAAAAGAAACTACATAGGGGTGAATAGAGAAAAAATGCTAGGGTTCTCAAATGAAAGAAAACATAACTACAGTCGAAACCGAATATAACGACATCGTTTATAACGACGAATCGGTTATTACGACCGAATGGTAAGGTCCCAGGCGAATCCCTAATAAACAGTTAAGTAAACATACCGCCTATAACAACATCGGATACAGCGACATATCGCTTAGAACGACGGAACTTTATCGATATTCATCGGCTATAACGACCAACCGTTGTGCTTGTAAAATAAAACAATACGAACAATTTTCAAACTTATTCTAATCTATGAAGGAATGTTTTGACTTATGCCTACGCACTTTTTTCCACCCCATCCGACGAGTGCGCCGTAGTTACTGAGGAAGAGATTCTTGCAGAAGTTGAAAGTAATAATCGTAACACTGATGAAGAAAACGAAGACCCCCAAGAGCAGTTCCAACCAACAACACTATGCGAGGCTATTAATGCTATAATAGTTTTACAAAAATTTGTTGCTTTTAACGAAGAGGTTAATGCTGATGATAATCAAGCAATCTTGACGAGAATGAAACGTAAAATGCAAAACACATTTGAGACTTGGCTTAAAAAAAACAGACCAAAATGACTGATTACTTTAAAAACTTATTGTAGTCTATAAGCTGTACTGTTGGTCCTGCAAGTTTTTCAGAAAAAATATTTTTATGTTTGTATACTTGTGTATATTGCTTATAACAACTATCGGATATAATATCCGAAGTTATATGGTCCCTTCAATGTCGTTATATCCGGTTTTGACTGTATATCAAAACTGTCATTATAAAAATAATTAGTTAATAAATCTGATATTTATACAATTCCATATTATATAAATTAAAAATATCAGAGTAATGTAATTTAACTGCTTTGCAGCGTAAGCATTTCCGACATAAAGCCATTAGATAAATAAGCCACTGCTTACATGGTTTTGAAAATTTTTTTAAGTAATGAAAATAAAATTAAAATAAAGTTTTTAAGTTTGTTAAACTCTAATTATAATACTACGTGTTTTGATTAATAACCTTTGGTTATTTTAAGTTGTAGGTAACAAAACGAGATTAAAAATCACTATTACTTATTTATAAAATTATGTAAGTATTAAACATAAATTGACATATTATCGGAACTTGAAGCTGATAACTCGCGTCACACCCATTCCGCACCGCTTAGATACTTTTTTAACTCGTATACTGAGCATCTCTGTTAAACAATATAATACAAATATAATTAATGATATATTTACCTACTAGATAGAACTAAATCATTAGCGCACACTAAGTATATTTACTGCAGGAACTACTACCTGGTGTAATTCCTGCAGTAAATATACTATTATTTCAGTTATTTCGATAGCATAATGTCTTATGGGATTTTGCTATGGGGAAATGTGGCTGATTCAGAAAGTATTTTGTTTTACAGAAGAGGGCCATTAGAGCTATTTACAACCTAAAACCGAGAGAGTCTCTTAGAGATAAATTTAAAGAAATAAATATATTAACTTTGGCCTCTCAGTATATTTACGAAAATTTATTGTATGTTCACAAAAACAAAGGTAGTTTTAGTAAAAAAAGTGATGTGCATTCTGTAAATACTAGGAACAAACACAAGCTAGTGATACTAGTTTCTCGACTTCATAGAGTCAGTAATTCATTCTTGGGGCAATGTATACGCTATTAAAACAAGGTCCCGGAAAGTGTACAGGCTCTCTCTATTAGCAAGTTTAAATGTTTTGTTAAGTTGAAACTGTATAAAAAGGGTTATTATAGTATAAATGAAGACATGGTTGATAATAACCTCTGGGAATGAGGTGATCACTTCCAAGCTGTTTCTAAAATAAATTTTGTATGTATATAGTTTAAAATCTTTTACAAAAATTTACTTCGCAAATATCCGCGTTATAAAATAAAATGATGTGTCTTACCTAGTATGAAGAAGCACCTCCCGCCCTCCCTCAATTGTGTGCACTATCCTATGCACTATTATCGTCAGTGGTGTGTCTTGCCTAGTGTAGTGGTGTTGGAAGTAGCGGTGCTGGGATTAGTGGTGACGGGGATAGTGCACGCAATTGAGGGAGGGCGGGAGGTGCTTCTTCATACTAGGTAAGACACACCATTTTATTTTATAACGCGGATATTTGCGAAGTAAATTTTTGTAAAAGATTTTATATAATGGATTTCCGCAAAGTAACGCCTGATTCTATTAATTATGTATATAGTTTGTAAAATTTGCTTTAAAAAAAAAAGTCCCGCTGGGTTTCTTGCTGTTCTTCCCAGGACAGAGGCTTTTTTCGAACCAGTGGTAAAGTAAAAAATGACTTTCAATAAGAATTACACATGTGATCTATATTGAATAAAAAATTATTCTATTCTATTCCATTGGTGACCGACAGGACACACCTCACTTTGACTTACGTTTACAGGCCGGCGGCCACTTTTTCATTAGATTTGCACATGCTAAGTGACCTGTGCGGCCCTGTAGAGTTAAAAATAATGTGTCACCCTAATTTTTTTGAATATTTTGAATGCTAGAGACGAAAAATAAAAATATATACAAATAAAAACAGCACTTATCTAATCATTTGATTATTTGAATATATGACTTTCAATAAGAATTACACATGTGATCTATATTGAATAAAAAATTATTTTATTCTATTCTAAAACCAGTATTTGGAATTTTAATGTATAAAAAATATCAAAATTTAACATTTATAATAGAAGACTTTTTAATACTTTTAATATGGTTTAAGCTTTTTTTTAATTTTAGTTTCAATTAGCTACTTAAGTTAATTTATGTAGTAAGTAAATGGTTCAAATAGTTTTTGACAACCCTAAAAATCATGTTTATATTAACCCCTTTTACGTTTCTAATAACCCCTCATTCGTATCTATTCACCTCGAGTTTGAGAAAAAATACCAGTATCCTGATTTTACTATTTAAAAGAATAAAATTGTTCAATACTGATATTCATATTTTTATATTAATATCAGATGAGAACCTCAACTCCCTAAAAAAAATTGCAACAAGAAAACACTGAAGAACTTGATGTTTAACTAAAAGTTTTACACAGCAAAAAATCACTTGTACTCACACGTTTCTAATAATCGCCCTTTTCTATACTGTCATCAAAATTAACACTAATTTAAAGGTTACCAAAATAAAGGGAAAATGTTGGCAAATAATAAACAGACGTTTCCGAGCTGTAGACAAACCTAGAGACTTTATCAAATAACCAGACTTGTGTCTATTCACCCCGCGATTTCTATTCACCCCATTTTACGGTATGAAATCGATTAATATTTAGACTCTTGGTTTGCCGGTATATATATGTATGTAAAATCAGAAACTATAAAAAATACAAATACTCACTTGTCTACCTACACGATCAGGTTGTGGCCATAGACGATCATCTTCATGCATTATTTCCGAATCAACAATAATTCTTTTAAGTTCCTCCATCACGCACGCATGCACATAAGCTTCTTTTCGTATCATTGTATCATTTTTATAGTTTGAGTTATTAGCATACCGAAGTTTACCATCGGGACGAAATTCAAATTCCAAAAATTCATGACCGAATTTACCCTTGTGCCCAACGTAATATCGTATATAAAAGTCAGTAGACATTGTGAAAGCAATTACATGAGAGTTATTAATTTTTATTGTAGTTTCTTTGGAGAAACACTAAATCTGTAAAGTAAACCCACGCTAAGTAGCACTTTTCAACCGCGCGCTTGTCAAATGTGTGACAAGTGACAACTGACAAGTGATAACTGACAACGTCAATTTTCAAATGGGGATATATATTCGATATACATCGATGCATCGAATTCACTCGATGTTTATAATACGATGCATTGAATCGATTCACAAAAGAAATCAAAGATTTAATGACAAGAAGAAACCTAATCAAAGCCAAATTTATAAAGAATGTCATATAAATCGTGAACAATACAGAATAATGATTTCTTATATTTACGCGAACACTACACATTGAATAAAATTACTTTTACGGATTTTTATCGCGTTTACTTAACTTATTTTTCTTATTTTTATTAATTCCCGACGTTTCAGGTGCTTTACACCCCGTGACCATGGGTGCTGTACAGCACCCGAAACGTCGGGAATTAATAAAAATAAGTTAATTTTACGCGATAAAATCCGTAAAAGTAGTTTTATTCAATACAGGATACTTAGAAATCGCTGCAACACGATGTGAGATACGTAACGACATCACATTCATAAGACAATTGATGAATCTGATCCTAATAGTGTTTGGAAGTTTCTTAAAAGTTTTGGAATCGGCAAAAAGCGAAATTCTTCTAGTTCTATTCTAGCGACAATATGAAAAGCCCGATTTGACATTCCTTATTATACATGACGCGATAACTTTGTATGAACGTCTACGTAAGAAACCGAAAAATCAAATTCATAATCCTAAATAATTACTATGTCATCCATACAGTATAACAATGAGTATCATTCGTAAGCACAAAGTTTCACTTTATATTGGAAAAAATGCACTCAGAAACACGAACTAATCGTTGATTAATATTCCGACAGGACGATATTACAATGACATGTCTGTTATATCTTTGGGTTCGTTGCCGTATTGTTGTGACCGTTATAAACCGTTTTTTAACCAAATAAAATCGATGTACTGAAAAATCAATACTTTTACATTTAGAAAAGAGAGAAACGTATTATTTAATGTTTAAACATAAAAAAAAAACAAAATCTGACCACATATATTTCTAGCTTTATTTTGATATTTAATATGTTAATATTGGAAACAGTTTGGCAAAAAAGGCCGGAGTCCATATATTGATTTTGAAAAAATGTATTTTAACTGCTATTTTTTCTCCCTACGTTATTGATTCGTCAATGCTTCGCGTGGTCTCTCGCTATCTTGGAAGTTTTGTATTATATATTTTCTGAATCGGTTATCACTCTTGGACTATTTCTGCTATATTCGTTGTCCTTGGTTTGCTAATTCTGAATTTTGTTTACGCATTACGTAATTTTGGTGTTATTGTGTAACTAGACATGTATAAAAGAAGACGTACTCTTAACAGATAGTCTCGCGACTTGGTTTTCAAGTTGCACGAGTACTTTGAACGAAAGTCAGCAAATAGATGGCCTATTTTAGAAGTCACCCAAGTACAAGAACGAGTCGCACAAGCGCTTGGAATTGGCATAAAAACTATCCGCAATATTATAAAGGAAAAATACGGGCCTTATGGCTGTGAAGATAATGTACTGCACATACCCAAAAAGCGAAAAAAACAAAAACCTGTGCCAGGTTTTACGTGGTAGAGCCATGCTGCAGCTATATTAAAAGTATAGTTGTAGCACGAATGGGTCGGCTGGACCGGAGAAAGACCACGCTCTCACAGAATACCAGCGTAATATAGCAGCTTAATGCTGCTGTGTTTCGTATGGTGAGTGTAGAGAACCGGAGACCCTTTTTACTGGAAAAGAGGCATTCTATCTTAGTCATCAGGGCTGACAACGCATCTGCATTTTAATTCGCAAACGAAGATAGATGTAGATGTCTATGGGCCACAGAAACCACTTACCATCAGGTGGACTGTGTCCTCGTTTGTCACCCCTATTCTATAAAAAAAAGCTACCGATAATTTTGATGCTGATGCTATTAGATCCCATATTTACGGCTATTACACAAGACAAGAATACCCCACCGTAAGTAAATTATTATGTCCCTTAAATCTGCAAACTTATATGATGGCAGTGCAACATCTATTAAACCGATTCTAAAAATATTGGGTTTTCATCCAAAAAAAAAAAGAAACGTAAAATATTGATGGAAATATATGACATAATACTACAAAGGGTATCCTTCTTAAGAGAAGTTAATAAAATAACCAAATGAGGCAAGGTAATATTTATTGATGAGACATGGTTAAATGCTAATCTTACTGTACCACATTCTGTGACGGATGATACACAAGCATCCAGCTCAAAAGTTCCAATGGGAAAAAAGACGCCTCATTATTTGTCATGCTGGATCTGCCGGTTTTATAAAAAATTGTTTGTTGGCATTTGAATCAAAAAGTACAAAAGAGTACCACGAAGAAATGAATGCCGAAAAGTTCAAAGAGTGATTTACTACCCTTATGCAAAAACTTCCAGAACAGTGTACGATAATTATGGACAATGCTCCTTATCACTCTATCTAACTAGATAAACCTCCCACACAAGCTAACAAAAAGGCGGATCTAGTCGCATGGCTAAGAAATCATGGTGTGGATGCTGGTATGAATTTATTGAAAGCAGAACTGTTAAAATTAGTCAAACAAAAAACCTGTGAGGTCAAAATACGCCATCGATGAGTTGGCACAGGAACATGGGCATAAAATTATAAAGACCCCACCATACCACTGTAAATACAATGCTATAGAGATGATTTGGGTTCAAGTTAAAGGTTATGTTTAGGCCCAAACTTGGGCATTTGAGACGCCATCCAATCACGTTTGACTGGGCGCATCGCCCGATGGTGTGAGGTGACGTGCGCGACGCCGGGGCGGGGGGGCAGCGGTATGCCATTTCCCGGCGTTCGGCCGAGATAGTGCGAGGCAGTAGCTTTGCAGCAACCGAGCTGTCGATTAGCGTATTTTTGTGTCCACTGCAACGTTTACGCGCGACCAGTTTTTTTGGTTTTGTGGTCTAGAATTTGAGTCTTTGTGCGCGTTTAAGATTGAAAGCAGCGGTGCTGTCGATTAGCGTTTTTTTTTTGTGACCGCTGCAACGGTTTCACGCGACCAGTTTTTGGTTTTGTAGTCTAGAGTTTGAGTCTTTGTGCGCGTTTAATTTGCGATTGAATTTGGATCGTGTAGACCTCCTCGAATTAGTTTGTCTAAGTTGTACGTTTCGGACAAGAGGCTTGTATTCAATTTGACTGATTAAAGTTAAAGTTAATGTTTAATTGTACCGTCGCGTCAAGTGCCTTTTGTGTGTTGACTATACAGTGAGTTTGCGTGTCAGTTAGGCTGATTTTGAGGTTTAATGCGGGATAGTATTTAACATCGTACGAAGGAATTTAGTTTGTTGTTTGTAACGCTGAACTTTGTGACTCGAGAAGAGATCGCGTTCTTTCCCTGTTTAATTTGGTGATAAATGAATCCGGAGCATCGAATATTGAACTTTAAACGACTGTTCGTTACTTGTGTCGGGTGTCGCGTGTTGGATTTCGATGAACGTTAAATTTAGTTGAGTTTGGAGTTAATTAAATGTACAATAAAGTTGATAGACTGAAATAGTGAAATGAAGAAAGAAGTGTCAATTGTTGACGTCCGCTGAAGTGATACAACATTGTGGAGCAGCATCGGACCAGGCCGCTGCCTGGCTAGCAGCTGGGTCAGGTCACATATATAAACACTACCACACACACTAATTACATGCATCTACACCACTACCGCCTGACCGAGCTTTGGGGCAGTCTTAGCTTCGGAACCAGGTACGTACTATTTATTTACCTAGCCTTATATCTATTGTGAAGAATGATAAGTCTCCATAGGCCGTTGGGCCCCACCCTTAGTTGGCCGTCGAATCTACCGCTGATGGGCCCCGGGATATTTTACCTATGTTGGGGCAGCTAGGGGTGTGTACAGGTTAGTATTTAAATATTTTAATCTAAAAGGAACGATTGTATACGTATTTATAGAAAAATAATCTAGGAAAATTATAATAGTAGTAGATATTTTTCGTTTAATATAGCGGCTGACTACTGTCGTATTTTCATTGTTAATTAAATGGCATATTTATTAGAACCCATCTAGCCGTTTGACTTCATAAGGGAATATACAATGTAGTCATGATAACTTTACCTCTTTTCAGGCTATGCTTTGCGTCACAATACAAAACCTCCATTCAACACAAAAAATGCTTGGTCTTCTTAAAGAAGCATGTGCACATGTCACAAAAGATGAATTGATTAATGTAGTAGAAAAGACAAAGATAATTATAACGGAAGACTTTAGAGAAGAGACGTACATTTTGACAATTTGATTGAAAATGAAATTATTATAAGGTTAACCGATGAAGACAGTTCAACTGATGATAAATTTTCTGGATCATCCAGTGACGAAAATGAATAAAAATGTTACGAATTCGGTGGATTTATTTACTTACCTGACCCTACCAAATTTATTTATTGTTAATTTTATTCTTGTATAGCGACCCGCTTCGTCGTACGGGTGCATATCAGTGACGTGCCTACATAATATTATACAATGTATTATTATACGTAAACCTTCCGGAATAAATCAGTATGACGGGTTTTAGTTTATGTCTTGGCTTTGAAACTGGCCCCTTATTTAAACTTAGTTTGGATTTATGTAATAACTGTTGTATGTTACAAACTCGTACATGTATTAAAACGATATGCCTTGAAAATCAATTTTAAACGATGTAGATACATTGTCCAATTAAAACTCTAAATAATCGATATGTCTCGAGAATCGGTTTTTAAAGCAACCAATTTTTTTCCCATCATTACACAAAGGGTTTTTATAGCTGTCAAATCGGGCTTCTTAGATTGTCACGAGTATAGTGACGTTAACAATTGTAAATCTAGGTCACTGAATCACCTTCATTCTTTGCCAACT